GAATTTGTGAACAGTAACCCATGAGGTGGCTGCATGAAGAAAAATGATGACACGGTCATCTATAACATGCTACATTTAGTATTTACACAGAATTTGTGAACAGTAACCCATGAGGTGGCTGCATGAAGAAAAATGATAACACGGTCATCTATAACATGCTACATTTAGTGTTTACACAGAATTTGTGAACAGTAACCCATGAGGTGGCTGCATGAAGAAAAATAATGACACGGTCATCTATAATATGCTACATTTAGTATTTACACAGAATTTGTGAACAGTAACCCATGAGGTGGCTGCCTGAAGGAAAATGATAGTATGTTACATTTAATATTTATAAAGAATTTGAAAACAGTTACCCATGTAATAGATGCCTGAAAGAAAGCAATCCAAATGCATGATAACTACTGTAGAAAAAGTGTTATGATGCAATATTTCTAATAAGAATGACAATTTTATACTGTGTAGCTCACCTGAAGTAACTGTTACCAAATTACATTATTCAAACTTTACATTGATCTAGTTAATGCCTCAGGAAAAATGTTGTCATGTTCAACTCCTCCCGAATCTGTAAACTTTGAATGGGTGTGATGGCTCACTAATGGAAACTGTTACCATATTAAGCTATTCATATTGAAACTGTAAACATCAAAAACAAGTATTGGCTGCTTGTGGGAAGATCTAACTATACTACGTTATTCATATTGTAGTAATAATTTTATAATGATGAGGTAGCTGCATTACCTGGGGGAAGGTGATAGCATGTTAGATTATTAATATTTTAACAATATATTGTGTGTTGAAAGGAGCATATGATTTGAGTAACTTCTAAGTTAAAACATCATAGCCAGTATTTCCTTAAAAACAGCTTGATCTCTTTTTTCTTATCATTAAACTTGCCTCTTTACATGATTAAAAAGTTCCTATTTACAAAATGTTCTTATTTTATAGTGACGTTCTCTTTGATGACTGCCTTCACTTCGGAGGAGAATTCTGATCTCTTTTAGTTAAATTTTTACTTTCTTAAATGTTATTATGCGCTACTTTCACAGAAATTGGCTAGAACTTATTAATTTCCATAATTCAACTTGATGTTTCACCTAATATAATACCTTTAATTTTCAATTCTTAATTTTACTTTACTACTTAATGATCAAACTTATCATCAGAGAAAAACTATGCTCTCAAAAGATTTAATTACCTTTAAAGCAGAAACAGCTTTCAGGTAATGAGTGATGGCCTGAGAGATGTCACTTCCTTTAACCAGCTTACTGCTACTACCCCTCTCATCACCTACATCTTGTAGACAGCTCTCAGCAAGACTGATCTCCCACAGAGCCACAAGCCAGAAGTGGAAATGTTCAGTGTTTACCTACAGTTTACAACATGTCTAATAAATCTTTTGTTCTCTAGTTCTTAGAGTAATATCTCTTTTATAAAATAAAATTTTCAGCTAATTTTGTCCATGCAATCACAACTTAGGATTTATAAACTCCTGTATATCTTCAGTTATAATTTAATTTATATCCAATACTTCAATAACTAGTGAGGTATGAACTCTATGAGCACAGGAAGGTCAAAATGCACATCATTTTTTTAGTTACCTTCAAAATTTAATCAAACTACTTTATTATCAAGCATAAGCATCAAACATAATTTATAATTCTCATTTTTATATTATCTAAGTTTTAATTTCTAAACTGTAAAAGGAGATAAGATATTTAAATAAATTCTCATTTTGTGCCTCTGAGTAACATGATGAGGCACCCCGACTTCTAATTTATAGAAGTTTCTCTTCATTTATAAGGGATTCAGATTGTTGAACCAATTAGATACACAAACTACAAATACTGACAAGCCACAATATAATATTTCCACCTCTTATTACTATATTTGTTCAAAACACACTGACATGCCCATCCAATATCCTCTGTCTTTTATGAAATCTCTGTAATTCTCTCTAACACTGATATTGGACATGTTTATAACTGATAGAAAGAGCAAATTCTAAACTACACAAAACAGATGATTGTCTGTTTTGTTTTACTGATAAAAGCCTATAGTTCACCAAGAGAGCTTGATGTACTTTGACTAAAGACATTGATACAAGTTGTAATGACATTCTTTTATATCTATTTATAGGTTATTTAGAAAGATATATATGTATTATAGTAGTTTGGGACATTCTATTATAGTGTTTCTGATATGTTTTTTGTTGTAAAATGAATATTTGAAAGTTGCATGAATTATTATGGGACAACTAACATAATGAGAAAAGATATGCAAAGTGCAAAAGACTTCAAAAACTAAAGTAAGTGCTAAATTTCTTATTTTTATGTATATTTTTTATTTATTCTTAGATATTTGAAAAAAAGTAAAATGTCAAAATTATGAGCAATTTGAAGGAAAAAATAAATAAAATAATTTTTCCTTGAGGAACATACCAGGCCTGCCATCACATGATGTAACTGCTGATTTAACTCTAAAGATTGTTTACCCCCACATGTCCTAAGATCTCATCAGGTGATTTATTACTTTGTTATGCTAGTTAAACACAGTTCAAAGAGCAATAAAACAATAAAATTAAATGAAAGATGTGAAAGATGTTAGAAGCCTGAGGTTGTTTAGGATAAATAATTGCAATTGTTTGTTACAACATGCAGTCATTCTACAAGAATAAAGGTATTTTTGACATTATTTCATATTTTTTAACATTTAATATGGATGACTTCACTACAGTTAATATTAAGGTAGAGAAAATAAGAAATAAAGAATTAAATTTTCCCAAAATAATTTTGATATTCATTTAGGAGTTCAAGAGGTTATTCATATTAAATATGAAAAGAAGTATTTTGACTCTTATCATGAAAATCACATTTCACTGAAACTGACTCAGTAAAGACTTTGTAAATTAACAGATAATTTTTTTTTATTACAAAAATCTAAATTCTTTCTGTACAAAAAACTTGTAAAGCTTACTAAAAGCTTCCCAAATTTCGTGAAGATACATTAAGTCCATCCAGAGTTATAGTATGTAGTTTTATGATTATATGGTAGTTACAAATTTACTTTGGTCATATGCATATAGTTAAACTAAAACAGGACAGAACACCTTCATCAATGCTCATTCTATCAAAACAAACATAACATTATGTTTTCAACCTAGAAGGTTATATGAATTATGCTGTGCCTGAGTGATGACAATATTATAATGAGTAATTTACATTAAATTCTGTACTTCTTGGAGGGTGGTAAATAAATTAAAGAAGAGGAAGACCAAAAGAACAAATGTCAATTCTCATACTAGGGAAAATTGGGGAATTTTTTTAAAAATTAGTTATAAA